CAAATCGTGGCCTTGCTAGTGGGGATTATACATTGGCCGTGACATATAGAGGAGACGTCTATTTCGTGCCCGTACTGTATCCGTTTTTCGTGATTGTACTTGTTGGCATGCTTTAAGTTTGATAAGGGGCACTCCATATTTACTTATTGAGTTTATCTCATAGTTTTTCCTTGTCCACCATTTCAGGATGTGAAATCGAGGACGGGGAAACCACGGGAAGTGGCAAGTTAGAAAGCTAGCCATTTCGGGATTGATATAGATTTGATCTTCAGATTTTGATGGTGTCAGAGCGTGATATGATAAGTTTTGAGCCTTGTGCATTTGTGGGACCCGTCTCACGAGTGCACGGCGTCTGCCGCGTCCCCGGATTTGGGTTCTGGGGCATGACACACTGCTTAAATCGTGGCTCTTCACATACCAGGCACTGTAAATAACACTGACTTTCATATTCTCTATACTACAAAATGCAATTGTTCACACAAACATCATACTTTTTATACCCGAGACCTAGAAGCCTCAACATCTTCTTAGCACTATAATAATCTGTTGGCAATTTCTCCCTATCAACTTTTTTGAAGGCCATTAGACTACGCTTTAGCACATAGTCCTAATTAGTAATACTCATGTTAAAAAGTGTTTTTGCACTCATGAGCTCACACACCCACTTTAAGACAATGACGCCATCATCACACCCTTCAAAAAGAGGTGTATCAACTGCTCGCAAAAGATCAAAGAACTCTTTTGCATCTCCTCTTGGCTCCTCAAATATCAATTCTGTATTGACACCATGTGGATCATCAAAACTAGCATGAAATTGTGTTCCATCTTCTACCCCTGTGGCACTATTTTCATTATTAAAAAAGTTTGGTCCCATGGCATCATGAAGCATGTCCCTGAGTTGATCGACACTTGGAACATTATTCATAGCAGCAGCACTTGATGATTCACCCACTTGGGTGCAACGCCATTTTTTATGAATAATTTCTTCGTGTCTTTTCCAAATAAAATACCCATCCATGAAGCCATTCTTAATAAGATGAGATTGCACTTTGCGTCGATGATGTCAGTCTCTATTCCCACACTTACTACACGGACACCGAATCATAATCTTTGAACAAAACATCGAGTCCGTTTGTGAGAATGCAAAATCTAAGAAAATCTCTACCCCAATATTAAATTCATTATTCCAATACCCCATTTCATCTTGACATCGATACATCCAACTTCGATCTTCTCCCATAATTAAGTAGTATATGCCTTAAAAATTCAATAATATCTTAATATTATATAATAAGCACTAGAATCATAAATATCAATTTTGGTCCATCAACTTTATGATTTTACACAATTTTCATCTCTCAACTTTTTTTTTGTTCATATTGGTCCTTCAACTATAAATAATGTACATTTTTAGTTCTTCTATCAATTAAGTTTCTTTAGCACATTGATAAAAGGACTAAAAATGCAAATTACTCATAATTGAGGGACCAAAATGAGCAAAAAAAATATAAGGGACAAAAATTATGTAAAATCTTAAAATTGAGGAATCAAAATCAGCATTTATCCTTTTAAAATTACATATGCTACAATAATATATATAATTACATTTTTAACCAACTAAAAATCTACCTAATTTAATTCATCTTTATAATTAATTAAAAAATTATGAAAGTTAATTTGTTATACATTAATTATTATCATTTAATTTTATAAAATATAAACACAATAAGTAAAAAGGTTGTTACAAATTTTTAATTATTACATTTTCATTATTATAATTTAATTTCTTATCCCTTAATTATAATATAATATAATTTGATATAATATTAGTTATACATCAATAATGATATATTAATTATTATACTTCAATTTAAAAAAATATAAATACAATATAAATTTAAATTAATTTATCTTCAATTTTTATATAAAAAT